AATACATCCTCTCCTTCTCATCCACTCTTCGTTATTACTCAATTTATAAATGAAACTCTCCTGCTTTGGGAATCGATAAGACTTTAATCTATTATCGGCCTTTCCGATAATCTATTATTGATGCGTTCTATTTTTAATGCGTAAAAGTACAAAGTAAATAATGCTTTAAGATTTCTGTCACAAGTTTTCAATCACTTTGGAATTGAATCTAACATAAGAAGAATCGTAAAAAATGGAAATAAAATTTGTTGCTTGCTTTTCGTTTCTATATTTTTCACGGGACCGATCTTGTATTTTTAATGCGTAAATGTACAAAGTAAATAATGCTTTAAGATTTCTGTCACAAGTTTTCAATCACTTTGGAATTGAATCTAACATAAGAAGAATCGTAAAAAATGGAAATAAAATTTGTTGCTTGCTTTTCGTTTCTATATTTTTCACGGGACCGATCTTGTACGTGAGTTAAGATCACGCATACTGTTAATAAATAATGCAGTAATGGGCGTTCGGGTCGAGGAGGTAGCCGTTAAATGCGGCGGAACGGAGAAAGCCGCATTATTTACGCCCGCTGGCGGCTGGCTGGCGGTGACAAGTTTAAAAAGCCACGGGAAGTAATAACCGAGGTGTCCGCGGATTAAAAGGCGTGACACTGCTAGTTCCAGCGATCACTCTTCCCCGCAACGATGTAATTAAATCCTACAACGTACATATATGTACGTTTGTCGACTCTTTACGACCATATAGCCCGTCTCTCTTTCTCTGCCTGTCTTTTCTTTCTCTCCTTCTCTCTTTCATACCCCGCCGATTGCGTCATATATGTATATAATGTTATGCTAACGATTGGGTCGGCGACAATCGAGCCTCGGGACCAACTCCGGTCTGCGATCTGAACTTGAGACCTTGACGCGCGAATTCACATGGTCACTTTTTAACGGGACTTTTCGCGAATCCAAAACGCGATTCTTTTAGCATGTACGCCTGGCTCAGCCTTGAAAATACAATATAAGCATTGTACCCTCAGACGGAATCGCAAACCTGTGAATTTGCGAACAACACTTGTTTCGAATCCGATTAATTAAAGTGTAGAACAATCATGTAATTGACTGATTTGACATTTTTTGGATTAAAGAATGTTAGAAGCCCGACAACGTCTTGTACTAAATTTGTTAGAATTTTATAACCGACTTGAAATTTTTCATTACAATTCAAATGGCATTTTATATAATTTTCGATAAGGAGAATCCGAATAGTTGAAAAAACTTTCTATCCGGAAAATTATGAATGACGTTGATATATATAAAGTGGATGATAAAGAATGAAGATAAGGAGATGAATTAATTTCCATTGTCTTATTCGAAAATTATAGGCCTCTTATTTTCCTCGCACAATTTGCGGGGAAATCCTGCAAATTAAAAAAAAAAAAAAAGAAAAACAGCGAAAGCTAACGCGACGGCTTCTTTCTCGTTAGCGAATCACGGCTTAATGTCTCACTCGGCGAGCGAAATTGATAGCGATGCAATTAGACGCGTAAATTGTACGCTCGTCATTACTCGTTGAGAGTGCGCGTGTGCGCGACGGCCTATCTGTCCATAAAATGACAATGTACTCCGGCGAGGGAGAATGTGTGGTGGTAGTTACGTACACGGTAAAACGGTTTAGATTCGCGCCGTGAGATAACCTTCGTCGTAGCTTACCGAGCGCGTCGCCGGTCGGTTCTCTCCCTCTTTCTCTCTCGTCTACCTGCATGCGTACGGATGTAGCTATACGCGTCGTAGGCTCGTTCCTCTGGTGCGTACACGCACCGGAATACGCATATCGCGAAACATTGTTCCCGCACTGTTCTAGGCACCGCGATGAGTCCGCCGGCCCGGCGGGTAAGATATACTCTCCCAGAACGGAAACGCATGGTGAAGATATCTTATCGTTCTCGCTTGGACATAATTTGTATGTGTAACTTTGATCAAAATATTTTATTTTCCATTTTTTTTAATATAATTCTCATTTTAAAATATAAAGATGTGTTTGATACAATTAAAAGGAATTTATATCTGTAAAACAAGACGATTATTTTATATATAGGTTTTTTATGTCAATTAATTTGTCTTATTCATCTATAAAAGTATTAAGATAAAGTCATTAAAATTTTATGAAATTTATATAATTATTTTTATAATTACTTTTATAAAAATAAATTTTATGTGACACATGTTGCAGTAAATTTTCTAATAACTACTTGAATATTTTTACATTAATAAAATGTTTATGAAAATAAATATATAAAAAGAGAGAATCATAAAATTTAAAAAAATTTATATTTGACGTTGATATGACAGAGTAAAAAATGCACGATATGAACAATTTATTTCATGCATCATATTTTTTTCAAAACTGCGAAAGGTTTATTTGAAATATTTTTTCACACAAATTAGTCATTCATGTGTACCTATACATAATATATATAATTTTATTTTCTGTAACTGCATCTGCCTAGATGCAATGTCGAACGGCGAATGACCGTATACATCAGGACGAGGACTTAAAAAAATAATTGCAGTTTTAACGACTCATTTCCCTTCGCGCCGCGATAAAACGGCTCGCTTTCATCGGGCATGTACCTCACGTGCAACGTCCTCGGCGCCGTCGTTTCCTGTTTCCTTCCCTTATCTGCGCGTCGGCAGAAACAGGAAAATCCACGAAAGCCCATACGTTATCTGCCACGTACGGTCAGGGTTCGCACACAGTACCCAAGTACGAAAGACGAGATATCAGTCGTGCAATGCACGCCGAGCAATACATGCCGGTACTGCGAAACGCCCGTTGCGGAAACGCCGAATGAATTATTTCGCAGCCGCGCACGATCGCCAGAATTATTTCTCTCACGGAGATTCATTGTTTTTCATCGATGCAATCCCCCCGAGAGAGATCTGAGATGAATTTTTAATTAAATCTATGATTTACGTAAAATCTATTTTTCCTTAACATCAACTTACTGCCACCCTGAACAAAATTATTAAAATAACAATTATTTATTTCAATACTGCCTTATTTATCATCTTAAACGATTATTTGAAATCAATATTCACCTGTTTTTTAAAAGGATTGTCTTACATCAAATACAGTATTGAAATAAATATTTATTCAAATTTAATAAATTTGTTTCAGCGCACTCTTCTTAATCTACATTAAATTAGTAATTAAATTCTAGATCAAAATTCTGCTGAAGCAATTTATTCGAAATATGTGTATATTAAACGAAAAAAAAATTATTAATCCTTAGTAATTGTATATCTCGATTTTTATTAAGGGGAAATTAAATTAGCGGTAAACTTAAATAATGTATATTCTAAAATGATTCTGTGTGCATTGTATCTGATGGACTGCGAAGAATATTACACTAGTCTGCCAGAGGCAAATGCATTTCCAAGAGTTGAACGTAACGGCGGGACCGACTGTCATGATATTCTCATGCGGTATTCGTCTTATCGACTCTCTTCATCTCGTGCGATTATAAAGTAGCTGCTCCATATAACGCAACATAATGGGTTAATCAAGTTTCGCTCAGAGGCCTTGCTTCCGCGACTGATGTACGATGTCATTACGTTCATAAATCTTCGAGCCGCGCGAAGGGAGAAGAAAGAGAGAGAACGAAGAGGAAAGGGAGATCAGGTGCGACGAGAACAATGTTTTCCCCATCGTGTTATCCGTCGTGCGGAGAATTTTAACGCTATATACGCGTGAGTTAATGTGACGAAATGCCGTGTAAAAGACTCGTTCACGTCGCCGATGCGTCGAGCAGACTGATAGAGCGGCGCTACGTGCCAGATACGACACCAGATCCGACTGTGCACGTCCTATAAACTAGGAAATTATTCAAATTAGCTATGCAGGTTTCACGGGAGTCGCCTAGGTGCATCAAGGGTACGAGGGAGACTACGGACTGCTCTCTCTCTCTCTCTTCGTTTTTCTTTTGGCCTTCCCTCTCGCGATGCAACATGTGCATCTATTTGCGCGACGCGACGTGGATGCACTTTTCCTTCTTCTCCTCGTTCTTCCCTCGACGTTTCTTTTTCCGAGAAAAGATGCAACGCCGTCCACGCGACGAATGCGAAATGCAACCACGACGGACAGATTGCGTGAGCTGCATCATATGATTTTTTTTTTTTTTTTTTACAGACGATTTACGCTTAAGAGATCGAACAATTTCAGAACAGTTACGTATCTCACATGGATTTAAAGTTATTTATGATTATTTGTATATACGATCAGGAATGCGAATGAACAGATTAATGACCGAGATTTGAGTTATTTATGGATTGTTATCAGCATTACCAAACTCTTGTCTGCACTGCGAATAAATGGTGCAAACGAAATATTGCGAAACATGCGTATGTAAAGCTGACGTATCATTCGTGGAAATCTATAAACAATTAAGGGTCTTGATTCTTTATTTTCTACAGTTCTTGATAGTTTAAATAAATCATTCTGGTTATTAAAACGCCAAGAAAATGTCTCAGAGCCGCAGTATCTCATTTTGTTTTGCGGCATTTTTTAATTTAATTTTAATTACCACAACTATTATTTGTTTAAATTATTAAAAATAATATTAAAACTTTTAATTAATTATAAATTACTATGAAATCCAGTTTTCCATACGCAAATTACTTATACTCGGTATTATTAATAAAAATTTATTATTATTTGATATATAAAAATTATTAATATGTAATTTTTATCTATCAAATTCTTCAAAAAGCAGCACAAGTGCTCGTGGTTATCGTCATCGTAGTGTATATTGATTTATTATACATACGTGAATACATATTGGTCATTATCGTAATTTTTATTGCGTACCACATGTTTTTAATATTTTTTTGCTGTTGATCGATAGGCAATATATTATGCGAGAGGCAAATCGCTCTCGAAGAGATGATCACTTAATCGCGCGAACTACTTGTCACATCAGCATCATAATCATACGTATTATTTTTTTTCTGTTACAGAATCGAGCCACCGGTGCCAAAAGTCAACAAGTGAGTAAAACGACTATCGTGAGTACTTGTTATTTACGTATTTATAGCGCGCACTTATAATTATGCATTTCTAATGTAATTACAAACTCAGAGAGAGAGAGCCACGATTTCGCGAGGATTAATACTCGTTTTACGTGAGATTTATATTATATTTCTCTCGTGCTCGACCCCGCACGCGCGCGTGCATAAAATCGTGTGTGCTACTCCATCGATCGAGATGATTCTTAATTACATTTTAACTTGCTCTGTAAAACGAGATGAAAACGTTTGAATCTTATATTGCGCTATATACAACGTAAAAACTGCGAATTATTTTCGAAAGACGTTTCCGCGAAAATGAGCGTGTTTGCACGTTGAACGATTGATTGATTAAGTCCGGTCGTCGCCATGATGTGGAAAGACTGAAGAAAGAAAGTAGTATAGCTGTGCCGTAATGCGCGGCATCCGGTGATTTTTCTACCATGCGCATTTACGACGATTAGGGATTTCGATGATAATTGGGACAAATAGGGAACTTGGTAATTTAAAGTATATATATTTACGCGAAAGATATTATATATAGAAATTACAAGAGTAGGATGCTAATCACGACATAGGTACTATGCTCCCTTCGTAGTCACGCAATCTCATATGACGAAGGAGGCATGATAAGAGAAAAAATAACATTAAGTAAAAAGGTTTGAAACAAGAGAGAGAGAGAGAGAGAAAGTATTTTATATATTATATTATTTATCCTATAATATTTCTAAAGTTTGCATATTTCATTTATTAGTGTATAATAAATTGAATCTTTAATAGAAGCTAAATTAATTTTCATAATTTGTAGCAATTATGAAAAAAGAATATTAATAAACTTTTAATAAAATTCAATAAAATATCTATAAGTTTTAAATAAAATAAAATTTTTTTAGGAAAGAGAAATGAAAGATTTTGTATTACATCGAGTTCAAAGACATAGAGAATCTGGTTATGTCATAGAACAAAAGCCGTTCAAAGGACCTGACATAATTGAGACATCACGCCAATTAGGCGCGCCTTGAACGGTTTAACTGTTAGGCGGAAGTCGATATAGAGTCCCCGGGCTCTCTGTATTTGCATTCTGATTATAAGCCTGCATAAAGTTAAAGCGTGGCGGCATCGTCGTATTACGTTATTTCTCGCAATCCCCGTGTTACTCGTTACGAGTTTGCCGATGATAAATAGGAAAACACAAACGAATCCAATCCAAGTTGTGAGAAATCGTCATCTCAATTTGCCAAGCTTTTTATTGTTGCGTGATTTCATTGATTTTAGGCCTCGCCTTCTTGTCTATCCGCTCGTTTATGGTCTGTATTTCCATTTTGATTATAAATGAGTGCGATGGCGATGGCGTGTCCGAGGAAGGATAGAACCTATCCAGGACGTAAACGCAACACGCCCTCTGCTATCTCTTCTCGTTCACGGAACGTTTAATGCGATGCGATCCTATTAATTCTAATCTAAACGCTTATTGAAGTAGAAAAATCGTGTAATCCCGCGTGAGATTAAATACTGTAATCTTGTGTTTTAACATAATTTAATTTTTTTTTAACATATTTTAAATGAAAGAATTGAGACAAAAATGGAAAGTGTTTAACAATATATTTTTATGAAAGTATTGCGCTTAAAAATAATGATTGATTAAAGTAGAGTTCAAATAAGCAAAGTTAAATATTCAAACGCCTAATCTTTTAACACGCAAGTCTCCGATTCACAATAGTAATTGCGCATTCAAAAGTTTACGTAGACGTTAATATGACAAGTAAAGATCGCTACATTATGCGGATCACGAAAGGCTAACTCAGTGAAGAGCATGCAAAGAAAGTATACCTAAATGCACAAACACAGGTGTCGTAAGCACTTAACGGCTAAGTAGCCGTATTTTTCTACTTCAAGAAGAGAAAATACGCGTAATGTCTAAAGAAAGATGCTCTTGTCAAACGTAAAATCTTACCAAAGACACGTTTCATTCGTTTTCTCTCTCATTCATTTCATCGAATTTTAAAAATGTAAAAGAAAAACAAGCATTTGTGCTCCTTTGCGTATAACATATGCCGTTACATAATGGAAATATTATTCAGTTATTGGCAGCAACACACGATGATGCGCCGCACGTACTATATTAAAACTGAGGAGGCATTGAACCCGTCGTGTTGTATAGTAATACCGATGGCGCGGTATATTACGTCGAGCGCGTAAATATTAATCGAATCAAATCAGGTGACATTGAGATTAATCTTAGATCATATCGAGATTCCAGATTTTACGTTCAAACTCATTTCTTCGGATTATAAAATAACATGAAACGAGTAATCTGTGAATTTGCAAATTGTAAAATTTATTACATCTATTTTACATAACATTTAATAAATTAATAAATTACGCGTAATAATTATACATATATTTATGTTTTTTCAAAGACAGACTTTCGTTAAAATTTGCATATACGTCGCGTGTTTCTAAGACGCGGGGCAAAATATAGAATATTTATAAAAAATATAAGTATATATATTAGATTTCTAATAATTAATTTATATATAACATGTATAATAATTCTTTCTACCAAAGATGTGCTGTAATTTGTCTTGTAACTCATCTTTTATACCTCATTCGATCCGTATGACGCATCTATCAACATAATTCAAATATATTGCGGCGCGTGTAGCCAATATTATAAGGCATGACGAAGGGGTAAAAGGAGCGAAGAGACGTCGCCGTAAAATAATATTAATTATCTATGCGACGTTACGGCTGTCCAAGGTGAGTCGGTCGCTCTTTCTCAGGAATACCGGTCCTTGTCTAAAGCAAAGGAGCATCCTTCTCGTCCGTAGGATCCGCATTTCCATTCCGATTACAAGTTGCTAGGAACGCACAATGTTGTACCCTCGCTATTACTCAGATACCCCCGTATTATTGCTTCTGATGAGCGGGTCCTTTTTCTAAGTCTCCCTCTCCTTGTCTCTCTTTCCTCGTATTCTTCCCTCTCGGGCCGCGATCTCCGTCTCTCGTTGTTTCTGATTTCTTCATGGGATTCCTGCGGTTCTACCGCGAACCACGTGGAAAAAGGCAGGATGTACGCAGAATATTTCGCGACCTTGCGTATTCACGTATGAGCCGTACATGTGCGGCTTGTTCGTTTTTTTTTTTTTTTTTTTTTTTCTTTCTCCCGTATAGTGTAGGATGACTCTGACGAGCGGATGAGGTTAACGTTTGAATTTTCTCGTGGCACGCAAGCGAACGAACGAACGAACGAACGAACGAACGAATGAACCTCCTCGTTAGACTAACGCGCAGGGATATAACACTTTGAATACTTTACGACTCTATCGCGGATTGATGACTTCATCGATTGCGAGGGATCAGCGCGCGTTTCGATTATAATGATCGCCCGTGGCTCTTGTGTGATGCAAAAACGACGCTGCGAGTTATACGCCATGAGGATGCAGCTTTTTCCCCGTTTCTGCAGCTAAACATTGTCTAATATTTATCTCACATATAACACATATCGCATTACAAGTAGAAATATGTCATATTATATGTCAACATATTTATTATATATATATTATTTTATAATATATTTATAGATACGATACATAAAAGTAATAATATATATAATAATATTTCTTAAATAGAGAGGATACTTTCATGATTATTATTTAAAGGTAAAACTGTTTGATTCAGACATTTCAACAAGAATATTCCCTCCCTATATACATTTTCGAAGAAAAATCGCTTTGTTTATTGTCATTAATAATTTTCATCGTGCATAATTGTCATTTAATAATCATATAACATACTTTCTATCTCTTGAAGACTCGTGCGCGAATTTCGCGAGCTTCCCGTTCGTCGCGGTGGAATGATTTCCCTTACAATTACATCGGCGATAACAGGTCATCCTGCATCTCTGGCTTACACCGTACGCAAATCCCCCTTTGATGCACCGCGAGGCGACGGTGAGGCTGGATTCACGCGAGCGAGCGAGCGAGCACTGCACATATGCGTGTCCGTGTTTGCACGCATTCGTTTGCACATTGTAGGAACGTGCTCGGCCGATCCTGGCTCAGCGATCTGAGCACGGTTACGTTAGTCCCGGCTTTATAATGAGTCGATCTCCGTTTGCACAAACAACCAGCTGACGCATAAGAGAGGTACTTCTCGCGAGCGAGCGAGCGATCGGTCGGTCGGTTTGGTTGATCGCGGCCTTTTACTCTTATTACTGCATTACGAGTCCGGTATTTCTTAATCAAGATAATTATCCTCGTAACGTCAAGGCGTCATGTTAAGAAACCTCATTGTTTCTTGTTAAAGGATAAGGCGTATTCGCGCGCCCGCGGTGTTTCTCCTTCTCCAAAGAGGATTCTGTTAGGTGTGGTTATTCGAGCGAAATTTCGCTCGAGGTTGAGGTTTCGTTCATTCGTTTCTTTCGAGCCTCTTCTCGAGATTGTCCTCGTCGTCGTTGTTGTGGATCCTTACGATTCGAGGTGAAAACGAGCAAAGGAATCTCGTGAATGAGGTTGTTGCATTGACGGAACAAAATTGTCAAAAATCAATCTTTCTTTTTTGCGCCGCGTCGGAATGAACGTCACTTTGTAAGAGCGGTCTACGTTTTCATCCGCACTCGATGATTCGAAGAATCTTTTCTGTGACAGAGTGGTTAACGTCAACCAACAAACGAATCGTATATATTATATTTGCATAAATTAAGAAAGATTCAAAGCGATGCAAGAAAAGAGTCGGGCATATTTAAATATTATTTCGAATTGTTTTTCGTAAAATCGATAAAATGGAATTAATTTCAATCACTATGAATAATATGGTTTCTTTTATAATGATATATTATTATGAATTCAGTATTAAATATTAATTGATATTTCGTATTTTTTCTTTTCGTATATTATTGTTTAATATTTATTCATAATTAGCAAAATAATTTGCAAACTGTTTAACGTGTTTATAAGAAAATTGCATGGCGGAATGCAGTA